TTCAGATGCATTCGCGAAGCTCGCGTCTGTGTATAGCTCTAACTTAGTGGTACTATTTCCATTGTACTCAATGCCATACTTCGACGTTCCTTTCAAGTACTTTAGTACTCGCTGAGCCGCCCTCCAATGGGTCTTATTATAGCAAGATAGATATTTACTATGCTCTCTTACAGCATTAGCAATATCAGGTCTAGTACCTCGGACAAGATACATCAGTGAGCCCACTAAACCTCTGTAATCGAATGGTTGGGCCGCTATCTGTTCTGGGTTCATATCCTTTTCCTTTTCTAATATAACACTTTTCGCTTGTGGTGTGGGTTCTGTACTACAGTCTCGCATTTGATACTTTACCAGAAGATCGTTGATGTACTTCTGCTGTGAGATTCTGAGTGTTTTCTTTTGTGAATCTCTTTTGATCTCCATTTTTAGCAGGTAATGCAACTCGCCCAAGTCTTTCATTGTAAACTTTGCAGACAGTTTAGCCTTCAGATCGCTGATCGAGCTCAGATGTGAGCCCGCAATTGTCAGGTCGTCAACATAGACGCATATGATCAGAATGTGTTCAATCCCTTTGATATCCCACCGTTTTAGATACAAGCAATGTTCTTTCTTGCATCTAAAAAATCCTAAGCTGGTAAGAAACTCATTTAGAACGGCATACCAGATTCTGGGTGCCTGTTTTAACCCATACAGGCTTTTTTTCAACCTACATACAAGGTGCCCAGTGCCATGACGAAATCCCAATGGCTGCCTCATATAGATACTTTCATGTAGGATACCATTTAGAAAGGCTGTAGATACATCCATTTGGTGTAGCTCCAGTCCTAGAATTCTGGCCAATGCCAACAGCACCCGCAAAGACTCATAGCGGGCCACGGGAGCGAATACCTTCTTGTAGTCGATGCCATATAGCTGTGTGTTACCCTGAACAACCAGCCTAGCCTTAAAGCGGTCAACAGACCCATCTGCATGGTACTTGACATCAAACAGCCAGTGGCACCCAAGGACGCTGCGTCCATTAGGTAATGGTACAAGTTCCCATGTATTATTACTCAAAAGGGCATCATATTCTGCTTTGATTGCAGACTCCCACTGTTTAGCGTAAGGACTTAGTCGCGCTTCCTTAATCGATTTCGGAACAGGGATTCTGTCCGGCTTATCTGACGCTACAAGATTTAGCTGGGTCACGTAGTCACTAAGCCTTACGTTGCGTGTTCGCTGCCGTTTTGATCGACGGACGTCACTGGTAGCCTGTCGCTTATCTCCCACTAGTCGGGATGTCGGTGGGTCAGTGACCGGTTCTGAGATTTCGTCAGCCGGCACTTCACCTGCAACTGTGCCTCTTGGTTGTTTGCCTAGCTGACCGATAGCATGTACCTCTTCGTGATCAATGCTGGAGTCCTCATTGGGAAACGAGCGTCTGATCATAGCCTCTGTACCAGTCAAACTAAACTTCACATCTCTCGCTATAAGATACTTGTTCGCCTTCACATCAAGAAGACGGTACCCTTTGTATTTTGGTGAAAGTCCCAAAAGCTTGCACTCAATTGCCCTATCACCCAGCTTTGGGTCCTTCCTTTTTGATTTAGGAACATGTGCGAAACACTTTGAGCCCCAGATCCTAAATGCTAAGCCACTGGGTTGTTTCCGATGTAACAGCTCATACGGGGTTTTCATCCCGAGCCTCGCCATAGGTAGTCGGTTTGTAATATCGACAATATAGAGTAGAGCTTCGGGCCACCACTTTGCTGGCATATTGGCCCCTCGAAGTGCACAGCGCACACCAGCCATCATGGTTTGATGTGCTCTTTCAGCACTCCCATTTTCTTCTTGGGATTCGACGTTAGAGCTTTGGAAATCTAGACCAAGTTTAGAACACAGTTTAGAAACCTCACTGTTTAGGAACTCAGTCCCACCGTCTGTCCTAATTCTGCGAACCTTAAATAAGGGAAACTGTACTTCCAACTGTTTTAAGAGGGTCCGGATTTTGCCTCGAACCTCTTTCAAGGATTTTACTGCAAAATACCACTTATAGGCAGTGGCATCATCTACCACTGCAAGGGCATACCGATAACCGAAGGAACCATACAGTCCATTAACCCTCAACCTTCCAGTAGAGTCCATGTGCAGAGTGTGCAATGGCTCTGTTGATTTGTTTCCTATCAAATTCCTGTAGGACATTCTGCGATCCTTCATTGAGGCGCGTGTACTACAAAAGAATGAAACTTTCTTGAGTTCTGAGTAAGAGAGGTTAGGTAACCCCTTTAGTTTCTGATTGCTCATGCTTCTAATTAGGCGTTCTTTGCCCACATCGCCTAATCTCAGATGCCATTCCTTTAGTATGTCTCCAACTTTGCTTAGTTGAGCATTAAAAGCACTCTTTCTAGCTGGTTTCGCGCTCGGTAAGTAGTAGACTTCGCCTATTGCCACAGCTGCAAACAGCAATTTAAAGTTCTTTCCTAAAAAGAAAAGAAAATCACCTGATTTAGACTGTAGGTGTCTATAACCGTGCCGAGCAAGGTAATATGAACTGAGTAAGTTGCTATCACACTGTCGGTCAAACGAAATATCTGTCAATGATATATCACTTAATCTTCCTTTTAGAGTCAAAACGCTAAGTTTTATTGATCCTTTAAGAGAGCTGCGTGAAACAGTTCCATTACCGTAAGTGAACACGGTATTCTGGCCAGGTCGGAGCTTCCCAGTAAACCAGCTTCTGTCTGATGTTATAGCTCGGCGTGCACCAGTGTCGACCACCCACATATCATCGGTTACGGTTAACCGCTTTAACGTTTTTAAGTACGATGCATTTTGTTTACGTACCTCATCTTCGAGTTGGTCCATATCTTGGAGAGCCTCATTTGGGGTCTGGGTTGGGTTACCCATGTCCTCAAAATCCTCATGGAGGGATGGGTTTAAACTCTCAATGTCGTCCATAGCCTCATCCTCCATGCACTCCTCCAACAGCGTCTTTCCGTCCTTGTTGACGTGCGTCTTGCCGTCCTTCACAACCGCTGTGATCGTGTTGATAGCGGTCGTCCTGCCCTTTTTGGCCTTCTTTGCACCTGGTGCCGTGTTAACGTCGGTGCGGAAGAGGGGTCCACCTGAACGGTTGGGGTCCCTGTCGGCAGCCATAGTCGGGCAATTCGCCTTGAAGTGTCCCGTCTGTAGGCAGTAGAAGCACTTGCCACCCTCATTGCCACCCATTTTTCGCTTTTGCCCACCATTCACCCGCACGTTGTTGATGGTGATCGGGTGGGACTTATCCATAAGACCCACTTCTTTCTTGGACTTGTCTCCAAATATCTTGCGCAGTGCGCTCTCGACCTGATCGATATTGAAATCGCCCTTCTTCAGCGAGATCGAAGAGGCCCAGAACTCGCTAGGCAGCTGTGAGAGGACCTCGACACACACCCAGGACTCTGTCACCATTTCCTCATCGAACAGCTTCTTTGCCTTTCTATTGATTTCGTTCTTAGCCTTCTTCAGTTGCGCGAACAGCGACCTTAAGTCGCGCCATGGGCCGCGTGTCAACTTAGCCCAGGCTCTCATCAAGTCGATTAGGCCAGCCGCGTCACCCTGACCGAAATCCTTTTCCAGGAGCCGAATCACTTCGCTGGGGTCCATTGAGGACACCACGTCCGGCAACGTGTTTAGGAAGAAGTCTGGGAGGACTTGGTTGAGGAGGTTTTGAAGGTCTCCTCTTCCTCTCATCCAGTGCATCATGTCCCATCTGATAGAGAGCGCCTCTTGCTCATCCATAGTATTGGTCGGTGATGGTGGCTTGTCCGGACATCCCCGCAGGAAGTCCGCCATGAGCACCTTCGCTTCAGGCTGGCCCTTTTCCAGCTGCTTGCGTTGGTACTGATGGTCGAGTTGATTGACGTGCGTCAAAAGCTTGTCTTTCCACATTGTGTACGACTTGCCCTTAAACTTCTCGAGTCCACCGCCAGACTTAGCATCGGTGGACATCGGAGTACTTGAAATGTTGCGTACAGCTGTAGGTAGTTGTTGATCTAGGCCGTCAGTTTTGGAAGTGAGATGGCATCGGCCATCTCTCCATTACATCCCTCGGCTTCACCTATCTTAGTGATGGGGCACGCGGCCTCTTTCTTCTTGAATGGTTGCTGCCATCGCAACCAATAGCAGAGAGCTACACCATTATTGACCTATCATTTTACTTCATTTCTCTGCATACAAAATGAATGATATTGCGGCAATGTTATTAATATATTTAGCTAGAGTCGAGACTCTCACATTTGCGACGTAGAAATAAACTTGCAGGTCAAGTACCGCGAAACGCGCAAAGGGATTCCAGATTCTGAAACCCATCACAGTGAGAACAACACTTGTCTTCGTATTCCTACTGGATGCTTGTTGCAAATGTCCAATCTTTTCAAGTTATCTCCAGGAGCCTCCAAGACATAAGACAGTCTTGGTCACCACGTTTTGTGCGAGCAGGGCGCTGCAACTTTTGAGCTACGCACTGCCACTGTACCGACACCACACTTCAAAACTCTCCAACGCAATACCACACCTCCACCATGAAGTTTCACCGCAAGTCCAATGCAGCTGGGGCACTACGGTGGCAACATGCGATGCTGAGTTAGTTGGTGCTCAGTAGTCTGCTTTATACCGTGTTAACCGTCAATTGGACTCTGAAGACTTCAGTGGTGGCAAGGGTATATGCAACAAGAGAAAAACTGAAGAGCAGCATTGAGCATGGCGACAAGGTGCTTCGAGGCAGCAAGCAGTACGCAATGGTTAGCCATTTATCGACCTGGAAAAAGATGCCTTCCAACGGTACTGCCATGGAGTTACCTTCCAACTCGTCAATAGTCCGCCGTCTGAAGTGTCAAGGTTGGAGAGCAACAGCAGAATGCAATCCACACGGGACTCGTTTGCCTGAAAACGACCAAGACTGTAACAGCACAATACCGGACGGCACATCGGGCTACTGTGAGGTCGAGGACCTGGACTCCCACGAGAGATTCATGGTCATGAAGCATACATGTGATAAAGGCCACAAGGATTCTATATATCAGTGCGTGCACGCCCCAAATTTCGCCAACTTCCGAGCCCAAGCACAACAAGTTGTGGAGGAAACGCTCCTACCAGGATACACTCTGCCCAACGTTAATGGTGGCTCAAGCAGTTCTTCTCAGGGAATCGTCATGGTAGTGTACCCCAAAATGGTGGCGAGCGTGTACGCTACCGTTCGAGCATTACGTGAAGTGCTACATTGCACGCTGCCCATTGAAATTTGGCTACGGCCCGATGAGATGAACAAAGTACCCGGAACTCTTGAGCCTCTACCGCACCTGGCGAGGAACAAGTCTGCAGGAAAAATTACGTTTCAATCAATCCGCCACGGCCACGCATTCATGTTCAATACCAAAATCTATGCCATCTACAACAGCAAATTCGAGCAGATTCTGTTCTTGGATGCAGACAACGTTCCAGTCAAGGACCCCAGCTACCTGTTTAAGACACTTGAGTTTGAGAAGACTGGTGCTATCTTCTGGCCTGACTTCTGGCATCCTGGACGAACTATCTTCGCTATCAACCAAACCTCGCTCGTTTGGCAGCTACTGGACACACCTTTCGTCGACATGAATGAACAGGAGAGTGGTCAGCTACTTGTGGATAGAAAACGGCACGCCACTCCCCTCGCGCTGGTTCTTTTCTTTAGGTTTCACTTACCCAACTACTTCAATCGACTCAAGCTCGCGTGGGATGACAAAGATCTGTTCCGCTTTGCGTGGCTGAAGCTAGGTGCATCTTTCCACATGATTGAAAAACTCCCTGCCGTAGCTGGAGAGGTATCGGGAGATGTGTTTTGCGGTTTGACCATGGCACAGCACGATCCCAGTGGGGACGTAGTTTTCTTGCATCGCAACCAACTCAAACTGACGGGAGATTCCAAGGTCGAAAACTTTGACCCTCGCTTGAAAAAGGTTTTTGGAAATGCTGTACCGTCTCAGCGAGCAATCAGCGAAGATGGATATCCAGATCCTGCGATATGGACACACTTGGTTTCCTTCCGCGAGGACTCTCCGCGATCCGAGTATATTATCCAGAAACACGGTGCCATGAACAGGTTTACAGGAATGCAAAGGTGTTTCGGAGGACGTGAGCTGCACAGAAACCCTCACTTTGACACACAGGAATTTACACACCTCAGCTTCGCCGGTTTAGAATTGCGTTTACGGCAATTTGCTATGAGCGCAGCTAAGCTTCAAGTGAAGAAAGGAAAATTGTCAACATAAGATAATCTATGGGATAAAACTTTGAAGTATCATTTAACTGTTGACGACAGGCTCTACTTGTACGTTTCACAATGCTGTAATGAGCCCAGAACACCCATGGCGATGCCGAGAAAGTGAAGGCGGCGACGCAATAGATTCTGCGAGAAATACTCTGGCAAAGGTGTAGCCCCGTGTTAAACTTTTTGCCTGGATATCCCGCCTTGTCAATCTGTCTCCGCTGTTGGCGTGGTGTCATGTGCGTTGGAACAGTGTTGAATAAATTGTTCTGCTTGGCTTTCTGGATAAATCCGATGCCTTGCGGATACGGATCGATCAGTGCCTTGCCGTTCATGTACAAAATCTCAGCCTCCTCATCGTCAGAGCCCTGGACTGGCATGTACTGCCGGATGCTAGCGCAGAGAGTGTCAGGGTGGTTCTTCATTTCTTGATTAGCACCACACTGACCCCCCACGGTCTGAAAAAATATGGCGCACGTGCCATCTCGAATGCTAGCCGGAAAGTCTCCTTATCTCCCCACGAATACGTAAAGCGAAAGCGTTCCTCCGTGATAAACCAAAACAAAATGTCCATGACAGTTTTTCCTGCGCGCTTCTTGTCAATCAGCACCATTGACGAGTCCATCTCATGAATGGACTTGCCTCTGTGAGCAAATGTATTGAGCATTTGCTGCGAAGGAGCGAGCCCCTTCGATACGTTGAATCTGGCGTAGTCGAATTCGCGTAACAGCTTGTGCACGTACATCTCCCCAGAATCATTGCCAGTCAAGAAGCGCCTCTGGGTGATGACTCGGTCGTAAAAGAACGTTGTGCCAGTCTTCACGTACCCATCAAGACTACGCACAATAGCAGGGTCTTTCAAGATGACGTCATCTACGTCTAGCAGCATTACATGGCGGACATCCGTGTAATACATCGCAAGCGGCTTGATCCACCAGCTTCGAAACTTTGAAGCCATTTCTTTCGATATGATGCCACGAGACTAGAGATCAGAGCACACATCCACGAGTTCCACGTGATTGTCCAGACTGAACAAGAGCTCTACGGATCGATCTGAGAGCTCATTACCACAGTGATATACCTGAATGAGCTCTCGGTTCCCAAGACATCGTAGCTCTCTTGTCCCATGTTCAGCATCGCATCGTGCAGGCATACCATGGCGGCACGGCCACGGACCACGCTCCTGTCAAAAGACTTACCACGCCTGTAGAACGGTGATGTAGGGTGTGTTGCGCTCGCGAAGCTGTCTTCGAATGCGGCATTGTCCATCTTCCAGTCTAAATGCGAATGATTGAGCGACGTGAACCCCAAACTGTGACTGAGACCAACAGACGCATTATTGACGAGCGTAGTGTTGACGTAGACGGTTGTAGCAAGGATGCTCACTACCGCCAATAGAAGCAATATCGGCTTCCGCGCCTTGGGGAAGCAAGGCGACCTATTGGGAGAGAGATCGGCTAGAGTGTGATAATTTTTCGAAAAAGAATTGGGTGTCCAAACTCAAATCGCGGAGCAGTCATACCAAATCTCAAGATTGTGAATTTTGTGAGTCCTGGAGTTCAGAATTTACACATGATACAATGAAAACTACCGGTACTCTAAAAAAATAAATCACAACGATTAAGTTACGGAAAAATCCGTACTCTTCCACCACAACAGGTATTGGTAGATTTTTGAATTAATTTCTTTACAGAATGTCTTGCACACTTAAAAAAAAGCTGCTAATACATGTATACTGTAGCCTGCTTGGCTGATTACCGGTATTGAGCGCGCAGGAAACGTACGTTGCAAAATTTTCAAGGGTGCAACAATCAACATCCGACTTCACAGATGGATCTTAACCCCCCAAGTGCGAGGCCATTTGGTGCTCGCCATCTCAGACATACCTACACACGTTAAGCAAGATGGGCACCCATATTATACTCCATATATATTTTAACGTGTCTGTACTAAAGCCGGTCCATACCCCCAACCCAAACTTTGGTATCGTGTCTTCCCCGCCTAAAGTGTCTTCCTAATACATGGTATATCTATTATTGTGTCTCCTGTACGCAAAGACGATACAGTACAAGCCTGATTTATTTGTCGATATTTAGAAAAACAAACCAGCTGGGAATACGTGAACTGTGCAGTATATTTAATGCAAGTCAAAAATCAGAGCCGGAGCCTGCCTAAACTACGTCATCACTTCTGCGGGATCGCTTCTTGCGTGATGATCCGTCACTTCCAGATTCACCGCCCGACTTCTCGGAGTTCTCAGCATCACCTGCAGTCTCATCGGTAGGTCTCTTCGGCTTACGGGCACGAATCTTGCGTTTGTTCCGTGTCTGAGGGATCAATGTGCCGTTCTTCCAATGTTTATGCCAGATCTCGAAGCACGATGCTGGAACACCGTTCACGGAGTGCTTCACTTTGTTGCAAAGGAAGACTCGAGCTGCTAGAGCATTTTTAGAAGACGGTTTCAGCCTGCATTCACCGCAAAAGAAGGTAGTCTCACCCCCACGCAACTCTTCATCGGCTTTGAGCACTGAGCACACTTACAGGCGCGCTGACGGCGTTTTCGAGCTTGTGTGGCGCTCCCTTTACGCCACTCGTCGGTCTGAACAGGCACATGTCTGGCGACTTCTCGAGCTTTTGTCGGTGTCGCCTGGAGCCCTCGGCGGCGTAGCAGCTGCTGCCAGTCTTCAGGTTGAAGCTGGCACAGCTCCAGGTGAAGCTGTTTGAGATATTGCACGTGTGATAGCTTTCGTTCACCATCTCTAACCCGCCGGCAATTGAAAACAACTAATGCATTGATAATTGCCAGATCAATAAGGCCTAGGAACAACGATTTGTAATACTTTCTGTAGCGTCTTGCCAGCTGCAACGAGTATCTACGGGGTGCATGTAACAGACACGATTAGCGGAAATGGTAAAGCTGTCTATACACGATAAGACAACTTACCTTTGAAGACGCAACTGGTCATGCACATCCACGCCGCCCATAAAGGTCTATTAATCTTTTACCACTCTTGGTGCCATTACTTCCGCTTCCGAAGCCGTAATAGGGTCTCGTCGGACAATTCTGTCCTGTTGCGCACTTCCACCAGCTGCTAATACGTGCACCCCTTGCTTGTCGTACCACCGGATTGCTTTCATTGCAGGAACATGAACGGATGTCGCCACTTCGTACGTCCCTCTTTCGATATGTGCTGGCCGCTTGTTCGACGCTCGTCGGCCATTCTTCTGCTTTGCTGGTAGGATGGCCTCGCACAAGCCTTGCTTGTTCATCATAATCGTTCCAACGATGTAGAAAGACATCGTAAGCAGTTGCATTGCAAGCACCACGGGGGTGTAAAACCGATCTGTTTCAACCAGTCGAAAGTCGGAGGGTCCAGTGGGGCCAAATACATGCTGGAGATTTCGCACCACTGCAGCAGGGCCGAATTTCTCGTCAGGTGGAGTGCTGTCGTCTTGCATTTGGCGTTTACCACAGTAAACTTCGAAACTGTATCAGACACGGTAAAAAAATCGTTAGCATGTAGCAGACACGTTAAGACAACTTTATAGCCAAAAAAAAACGCGCCCGAAGGCGCGTCACAAACGTACCGGATGCAATAAGCCGTCTCAGAACAGCACAGCATGAAGAGCTGAGTCCCCCATTTGTGAGGCTTATCTTTCATGTACACCCTCATACGATTGCAAGCCGATCTTGAATGAAGCATCGCTTCATCAAACGCCATGACCGGTGGCGGTACAAAGCTGCGCTGGAACGTATGTTGCAGTACGATGATTACTGGCCGCAGCTTCCACGCGCGGTCCGTCGCTGCCTCAGGAGCATCATTGCGACTAAAATGCATGTTGCGGGAAAGATGAGCAAACCGATCTCGCTTCATATAGTGGCCGAAGCACCCACGCGGAATTGCGCCTTCGTCGGTAGTCTTCCAGTGGTGGTCAAATTTCTCCTTGTTCGGCGCAATTGTTCTGGCAATGAGTAGTCCAATAAAAATACAAAACTCTCTTCCAGATATGTCAGGTGTTGCCAATAAATACTCCTTGATTTGCTCTTGCGATTTGACGTCAAAATTGCTGTCCTTCCGGTGGCGGGCTTGTTGCTTTGCACGCTGTGCGCCAACACGCTTATCCAAATTGTGAAGGAAATAGTCGTCACTAGCTCCGGCAATGTCTTCCCAAAAATGGGGAGGTGCAAACAAGAAGAATGACTCCAACGCGGTCGAAGCAGCGGAAAGGGCTTCTTCAGTAGGCCCGTGATCCCCGCTGTAAATATTGGGATAGTCCTCCGTAAGCCATGCATCAGTCCGAGCCTCGTACGGCTCGTCCATGTAGGGAAAAAGCAATTGGGTATCAGGTCCATTCCATCCATTGAGCTTCGTGTCTTTTAGAACATCCTTGTGTACACTACCGCGCGCAAGTGCTCCAACTCCGCCAACTATTTCAAGTAGAGATGGCTCGAAAAGTAAGTCAGGAGCAGCAGCAGAATCCTCCGCGACGGCGTCGGCTTCTTCGAGGCCTAAGTCCTCATCATCATTGTAAATGGACATATTCACATTGTCACCATCGGAATCCGGTGCTGCAAAATCTGCTGGATTATCTCCAGGCTCGATAATGTTTGGGTCATCTACATCCACGTACACTATAAGAATCCACAACGTGTACCCTTAACGTGTATATACACCATAAGCTTACCCATCATTGCTCTGATTCCATATGCAACGCTGACGCTTGGTTGCACTTTTTCAGGTGGTATGGCGGCCGGTTGCCCTTCTTCACCTGGCATCGTGCTTTCTCCGTCGCTATCAGGCTCAGAGCAGGCATACTCTGAGCCAGATGTAGCAGCAGCATCGAATTCAGCATGTAAACTACAATTGGGATACTCGTCTGTACCTATAAGGGAGTGGTGTGTTAGCGTTAGCAGTAGCTCACAGGTACAAGCAATGTGTTCGAACTGCTTACCGTTTTCATCACCAACTGAATTGCCCAAATCACTCTCTGCCAGGTGTGGAGAGGTAGCCTGAATGTTCGGACAAACAGGCTTCGTCGTGCCTGGATCTGGACTGACAGTTCGGTCAGCAACTATATACACGATAGCGTTAGAATCATAACATGTACATACACAATAAGATCAAACGCACCATCTTGTCTATCAGGCACATCGGTTTCAGGCTGTCCACTTTCCGGAGTAGGTTGAGTCGCTGCCGCTTTTGCTTGTTGCTTCGCCGCGGTAGCTTTCTGCATCTCCTCTAGCAAAGCACACGTACTAGAGTCCACACAAAGACCTTGAAAGGCGATACTACTTACCCAAGGCGATACGGTCCAAATATGCCATCAACGCAGCCTCTCCAACGAAAAAGTTCACGTTACGTACGTCCTTCTTCGTCTTCCCCGGCATAAGGTACGTGTAGTCGTTTGACAGGCCCGTAGGGGCCTTTGATTTCCATCCTTCCTTCAGAAGCTCTCGCCATCGGCCTCTGAACCCGGACAATTGAGCGGTAGCGGCGAAACTTCTCGAATGACCGAGATATGGGTGGCGCAGAATTCCACCTGCAATCCTCTATGCTGATTTGTGTGACATTCATCAAACCTGTGTCTTCTAATTTTCTAGAAAAACCAAGTTCAAGGCACACGCATAGCTATGTACTGCTGTGCGGGAAGATGGGAAATATGCCTATCCCTTCTTGACTGACAATTTGTATGGTCCTATACAAACGTTAAGTATAAAAGCTTAACGTGTCTCAGACACGTTAAGCTTTTCGCGGAACCGTGTCTCATACAGTTGGGGGGTTAAGGCATTTTCTCATTAGATTGTAAAAAAGATATTTGATGCAACAAAATGTAATTTCATTCAAATAGACTCTAAATTGCCAGTAGCACTTTATTTTAGGTCTGGTACCAGACCAACAACCACAGATTTCTTTTACCAGGTATTTTCAGCAGCTTTTCATTCAAATAAATTGTTCCATAAAAATAAATTGAGCTCGACGCAGCTGAATCTCGTAATAATTAAGGCTTATGTGTCGCCGGCTTGGCAATGTATAATACCATGGCATGTGGGAGTCCAATTGTCAGCTGATGGTTTTGCTACATACTTAAGTATGTATTAATACATGACAGCCACGAATTCTTATGTCTGCCTTTCCAGCGACATGAGCCGAGCTCTTCTGGCGTTCGACTTTACAACAGACAAATTGCTCCGTCTCCAGCATATGGTGAGCCTAGAATAATAACACTTGCCCAGGCGATGAAGAAGAGTTAACGCTGTATTAATATTGTTTTTTAGTTATACCGGTATGTGAAAGTAGCATCGAAAATGATCACAACTCGTTCATGTTAATATGAGCATCTATTTTTGTAGTAATTTTTAATTGTAGAATGTACTCATTAGGAGTCATTTTCAACAAATGAAGATAAGCTTGTTACTCATATTAAAATTATAAATTTGGAAAATTGCTCCGAGCAAGTTGAGCAAAATGTCAGTAATGTATACTTATCTACTTGTACAATATTAGTAGCACCTAGTAGGAAAGTTCTATGTATTACAATGCACTTTAAACTTCATACTACGAAGCCTGCACGAATGACTGTTTCCGCCGCATTATTTCTTGTACATGTACTGTAATAAGTTCGTGTTTGAACACTGTACGTGTCGGTTTTGTGCCTCCCTCGAATAGTCTGGTATTAATAATCAAAGTTTGTCTCTGTGGGACCAAAAATGAAGATGGTGATGGACAGCGCCGTGCCAATATTACGTGCATTTGTAAACAAAAGGCGATGTCCAGTGAGCCCACTTTTTTAGGCAATGCAACTTGCATTGCGAATACATGTACTGTAACAATGCAACAAATGGGAACAGGCTTGAATTTACACATCCGAATCTCACTTAATGTAGCCAGGTCTACATCAGATTCAAATCCATCACGACTCGTGATTCTCGAAAAGTTATCGCGGGGAAGGATAGCCGAAGCACAAGAAAGACCTCCATCATGAAGTCCGCGCCATTAGCTGCGGTGTCAGAGCGGCGTTACATGATCTTATTGCTCGGCATCTTGACAGCATGCACGGTAGTATGGTGCCTAATAATGTTTTGGACAACCAATAGCTCGACGACGCAGCGCTTCTTCACGTCTCATATGGCTACCAATGCAGTGGCATTTCATCTCGCTGGTAACCATAGCAATGCAAGTGCGGAATCTAACGCGTCTTATCTGAGGGCGACGGACGAGCTTATTTCTCGAGGCAGCGGAATGTCGGTCAAGCTTCGAGGGTCTGACGTCGCGTTGATGGATCTGCCTTCAAGTAGAGCGAATATTCGCCGATTCAAGTGCATCGGATGGAGAGCGACGAACGGCTGCAATGCAGACGGCCCCCGTAACCAGCGACGTGGTTTGAACTGCAGTAACTTGATCCCAAAACAAACTTCAGGCTACTGCGAAGTCGAAGACATTGATACCAAGGAAAGGTTCCGCGTCATGAAGCGTTCCTGCGCAAATACAAAGGGCGGTGCCGTTTTCCGATGCTCTGACGCACCAGGTTTTGCGAATTTTCGAGCTCTAGCGCAGCAGGCTGTAGCACAGGCAAAGAAGCCTGGCTTCGCTTTACCAAATGTGGAATCTAAATTGTCAACTCCCAGTCAAGGAATTGTCATGGTGGTATATCCCGCATTGGTAGCTAGCGCTTATGCCACGTTTCGCCTACTCCGCGATGTGTTGGGCTGTAAACTACCAATCGAGATCTGGTTTTCCCCCGACGAAATTCGCAAAACGCCGGGATCGCTTGCACCACTACATACACTTAACCAGACAGCTACTGGCGACGTTATGCTTCGAGAGATCAATACGAATGGCAAACCGATGCGGTTTGAATCGAAAATATTTGCAATTTACCATAGCAGCTTCGAGGAAGTGCTGTTTTTGGACGCCGACAATGCTCCAGTGAAAGATCCAAGTTTCTTTTTAAGACGCCAGAGTTCGTCAAGATGGGCGCAGTCTTTTGGCCGGACTATTGGCATCCGCAGAACACCATGTTCTACATTAACTCTGAATCCGTCGTCTGGCAATTACTGGACATGCCTTTTGTCGATATGTTTGAGCAAGAAAGTGGACAGCTGCTCATCGATCGTCGTCGCCATTCAGTCCCACTCCACCTCGTATCATTCTACGCTTTCCACCAGCCCAATTACTTTCAGCTGCAGCGACTTGCATGGGGTGACAAGGATCTGTTTCGTTTCGCGTGGCTGAAGCTCGAGGTTCCATTCTTCATGGTCCAGACTCCGCCTTCTATTGCCGGGACGGTGATCGGATGGTCATTTTGCGGAATGACGATGGTGCAACATGATACCAATGGCAATGTGCTCTTTCTGCATAGAAATCAACGCAAACTGATGGGGAAACTGCACCCCAAGCTGGTTGAGGCACTCGACAAAAAGCTATCGCTGGTCGGGATCGAAGCTTACTGGACGATGGCAGACCGGATCCTGAGATTTGGACGCACTTGTTGTCCTTCCGCAACACGTCGGGGCGCTCAGAGTATATGGTGTACGGTGAGAGTGGGTTACCAGGTTTTCCGAAGTGGCAACGTTGCTACGGGCGACGGGATTTGGATCGGAACCCACACTTTTACACTCAAAAGTTCTCTGACCTGAGCTTTGGAGGGATAGAAAAGCAGCTACGTAAATATGCGTTCGAGGCCGTGCAACTTCAGCAGCAAAAATGATATTGAGTGTTTGCTTCACCTTAAAATGGCCATTTTATTTAGGTAGTTTTTTTGTGATCCACATATATAAATTTCAAGAAATTTTTTCAAAAACCGTGTTCGGAAATATGGCTCTTACATGTAAATAATTCTTCTTTTGCAGTAAAACCTTTCCTACCTGATATGACCCGTGGACAACTCCTTTATCAGGAATACCAGCATATCATGTTACTCAGGTCGTCTTCAGTAAAAAGGCCATTGCTAGAGAAAGAGTCTGTATAAGTCGCCAATATCAACGTATATGAATGAGGTGAGGAAGCATGCCGGCTTGAAAAGCATAAAATGCAAATGTACTTCGCTGTGCGTTTCCAGGTCTAGCGTGGGGGCACACAGACATACCATACTGAAACTGTCTACTTATATGGAGTTAAGTAGGTAATTCTCTCCTGGACTCATGGGTAAGCTATCAATTTTTTTAACTTTGAAACGCCAGCCGTTATTACATGTATACATATGTATACCGCCACTAATTTCGACTCCATGCCCGCAATACTTGAGAAAATGCAATGAAGTATCACACTCTTTAAAAACACGTAAAATATTGAGCTCACAACACTCCTAAATGCATCGTCATTTCGAGGGCCCATAAATGGAAAAAAAAATTTTGAGCGACCACAACTTCCTCGGTTTTAATAGCTTATAAGGGCTCAAGAGTTAGAGGAGACGCCCGTTTAGAGTGCTTAAATCGCGATTCGTACTTGCTCGTTAGTGTTTTGCGTGGTCTCATTTACTCTAATAGGGCGCGGCGCATCCGTTAGTTTAGATGGATCGCTGTCGTTTGTGAAAAACACTTGTTGGAACCGGTATACCATTATGCCCGACTAAACGTTAGTCCACAATCTTTGGTACATATATATTTTAGGCTGCCGACTTCGACAATTCGTATGTGTTTTCGAGCGACACAAACAATTTCAAGGCTGCTGGTTACTGACATCAAATTAATAATTAGTTTTTACTAGCCGTAGGCTACACAGAATATACTTCTTTAAAGGTACCAATTCGGCGCTAAACGAAAGGTACTATTGGCAGCTTTACCGCGTACTAACGGCACCGTATAAGCCAAATTACTGTATAGGTTCTGTAGCCAGTCTTGCGTGCGTGTTGTGCTCCCTGCGGTCGAACCACTTTCCTCAGCCTCGACCGCTGGAAAGCGACGTCTCTCGTCTGGGAGTTATCATGTGGGGTCATATAAACGTGTCCGCCGCTGGTGCGGAAGTCATTCACACAGCGACTGGGAACTGTCGGTTTCAAATTTCGGGTCGTGATCGGCCCGATCGGCTTCTCAACTGTCAGTTCCGATTGGTTTTGTGATCTAGTAAGTGTACTTCTATCAGCAGAGCTCAAGAAAGATAGCCAGCTCAAATGATATATTCTGATTTATGGCAAGTTGCGACAAGGACAGTATAGTCAGTGCGTCGGGCGCTTTTAGTGACAAGCAAGCACAGCGATAAGCCGGAATGGACGATTCCGGCTTATCGCTGTGCTTGCTTGTGTCAAGAACGACATCAGCTATAGCCAAGCTCACCGACAGCGCGTTTGAGGCGATGTTCAAATAGATATTTTAAATTTTGACTTGTTTTACGATGTCTAATACCACTCCTTCGGCAAATAACGCTGAGAAACATATCGACACGGAGCAGAATTGTAGCTAACTTAGCGCTGGTTGAGACACAGAGTGAGAATCTGGTGTCCACAAACATGGTCGAATTCAGACGACCCGCAGAAAACAAGTTCAAGGCTTTTAAGTTTTAAGCGATGGTCATTAAAGCACCCGAAGCTAAGGATGCGAGCAAGACAATCCACCGCCGCTTCGTGAGGACGCGTGCTCATTTTTCGGAAGATAGCTAGACGTGTTTGTGAAAAAAACTGCTGCAATTGCAGGACCGTTTCGCCAGGGTAACCACAGAGTCGATGACATTCATGCTGTGGGATTCTAGAACCTAGTCTAGTACTAAATAGATTGCTACCGTCGATGATATTTCACGCAAGGAGGTAAAGGCAGGGCGTAATATCAACCAGAGATTCCAGATTAATATTTGAATACCGTATTCGATGTTACCTAAAATCAATATTTGATGATACAGCGTAGTCAGTAACATCAGGATCACAGATCCCTGACTCCAAACAGAGTATTCACTGATGACACAATATCCGATATACGCAAAACCAAATATTTCTGTTTGCCGTGATTGACCGTAAAACCAACATACGGGTCTGAACATTTTAAATCGCCATTTTTAGCTTTTGGCTGTAGCCAAACCCGTATTTTCCCAGTTTCCATTTCTCTGTCACTGGCTAAATTTGCATGTTAACTGGTCTTGCCCAAACAATCGCCTGGTAAGCATTCCGTGCTGCAACTGTATCACGATGTCGACATGCTGGCATGTTCAAGACGAACGAGAGTAAGTTTCCTGAAATATCTATCTTAGCTAAAATCTACTATGAGCAGCTACGTAGTAAACGAACTGCGGGCCAGTTTTTACGAAGCCGGGCAGAATACTGTTGTGTATCATAAGGTCCAATTGATCGGAGTACCGAGCACACACTATTTATCCGTAAGATCGGGGTAACCAAGAAGCACAAGCGCAGCTCAATAGTTACAAATTAATATCCGATTACAGTATCATTTGATCTGTTATGATATTGATATCGCCATGATCCAATGTCAATACCAGGAGATCTTCAGTCTGGCACGATTACACTCAATATCAGGATCACTAATACCCTGAAAAAGGCCGGTGATATGAAGCCTTGGATAAAGGCCATTTATACACAGGGAGTTGACTTCTTACAGGACAAACACCGCAAGGTGTTCGCTTAGATGAACGAACAGGGAGAAATATCTCACTATCGCAGCCGTCTTTGTCCCAGATTGGAATTTTGAGCCAAGATTCGTCAGGTTTTTCCTCGCCCTCGTTAATCGTCTGGCAGGAGGTCGCCCAGGGTGAGAGACCAAAGTCAAGATCGATGAATTGTTAAAGGACATGTCGATTGACGCGCAAGACGGCATGAACTACGACTAATTAGCTTCTACAAGCACATTGACGTGCTGTGTTGGGTGGGCACTTGCTCGGCAGAAGGTAGAAGTGAAAGTGAGAAATATTTTCAAAGGGGTTTTTACTTGGATTCTACATGCCACTACACACTAATTTGAAACGACACGCGCCTACATTCGATCTGATTGGTCCCAATAGTGAAACGAAGTCAAAATGTCGTACCTTCAACATTGTCGACTCGACACTTGCGTTAAGGTCCTTGAGGGTCTGGCTTCTGGTCGCCTGCCCGTTGACTGGATCTTACATCAATGTCCAACACTCCTCCTCAGAGCCTCGGGGTTCCTAAATCACTCGATGTCGACGAGTCCGATCTTCTCCCGTAGCTCCTTCATCCGTGGCGCCAGTAGCGCCTTCATTAGCAGGTCGGCAAGCATTTCCGCGCTAGCCACATACGCTGGCACCTCAGCGCCCTTCTTGGCGTAGTCTTGGATGAACTTGCGCTTAACGTCCACGTGCTTCGCCTTGGCCGAGCTTGTTTCGCTCTGCACTTGCACGGTAGCCGCTTGGTTGTCTATCAGCATGACCATAGGCTACTTGATGGTAATATCCAGCTCCCCAGTAGCTCCTTCAGCCCGAGTATCTCCTGAGCACCCACTGTCGCAGCGACGTACTCCGCCTCGGTCGTCGATAGTGCCACGGAACTCTGCTTCTTGCACTACCATGACACCGTCATTCCGTTTACTTGGATGCTTGACGCGCTCACAGACTTGCGGTCGCTCTTGTCGGCTGCAAAGTCGGCGTCCGTATACGGGAGCAATCGTAGTGGTAGCCGTTTAGCATTGTCGTCGCCAGACATATCCATATTGTGCGATCGGGTGTCACTCAGGTACCTGGCGATGCGCTTAGCCAGTTTCCAATCCGCCATCGCTGGTGCATGAGTCCATCGCGTTGCACAGTGTACAGCGAACATAATGTCAGGACGCGTGCATCTCGCAATCCACAGCAAACTCCCCACCAGTGACTGGAAATTTGTCACCATCGGCCCTGCTGACGCGGTCTCCTTTGCCGCGTGCGGAAGTAGCTCTACCAAATCTGACTCCGCCGCGTCTTCTCCTGCGATCGGCGATCGCACCGAATTCATTTTGTCCAATCCAACCTTGGTGAGCATCTTGACACTTGCAGCCTCTGGGTCAAACCTGTAACCACTGAGGTCGTCGTACTGCACGCGTATACCGAGAAAATTGCTGGCAACATTGAGATCCTTGAGCGCCAGGACGGATATGCCAGCGAAGAGGTTAATCGCTCGGGTGGGAGGGCAGGGACTAGTTCGGCGGGAAAGATCAAGCAATGTGTAATACTGTGCAAGTCGTATTATCATATTTAGTGGGTATCATACTTGACCAATTCTCGTCCGTGCAAGTAACCAGCAGGTCATCCACGTACGTTCCGACGGCCGGCATTCCGCTGCTGTCAGCTTTAAGTACAGGCAAGCGTCCGTAATGCACTGGATGAACCCAAGCTTGGCCAGTTCGCGATGAAGATGTTCATGCCAAAGGCTTCTGCTTGTTTCAGACTATAAAGGCTCTGACAAGAAGTTGTTCAACTTCATCCACGCTCTCAGCTCCGAGCGTCTTCAGCTCTTCCTCCGTGATAACGAGTTCTTCGGGGACGAATAGCAAAATCTTGATACCCTCCTCCGTTTTCGCCTTTACATACGCGTTTGAAACGTCACCGTGTCTGGCAGGCACCTTCCATATGATCACAATGACGAAGATGAACTTGACACCAGTCACGGTAATCACAGCCGCAATCACGAGAAAGAAGTTAGCGCCGAACTTTTGCTCGTTACCACAGGCGACTAGTCGAGCCTTGTACCGCTCGATCAAACCCGTGCCTGTTCGTTACTTTCTGTTTACCCACTTAGTAGCAAGCGAATGCTACCAGGCTCGAACTTGACCAGCTTCCACGATTCGCCTGTAGAGCTTCAAGTTCTTCCTATTCAGCTGCCTCCCAATGCGCGCTCTCGGCTCACTTCCGCGCCTACCTGTAGTTCTTCGGTTCCGGGTCATCAGCGTGGGAATTGACATCCTCAACACAACTTCGGATATGGTCAAAATCACAGGTTCAGTGTTCAGCCTCGACTCATCAACCTCCACGTCTCCATCAGCTTCAGCACGGCAGCGTGACTTGCGGCATGAGCGACGAGATATTCGTGGTGTGAAACGTGGTTACGGTGGCGTTGTTGTCGTGGGAGCTTGACCAGTTGTTGTCTTCACATCGGATTTCTCCTCCAACGCGCGGATGTTCTGCACATGCCTCGTGACGATCACCTTGTTCTCCGAAGGCGGGTATACCTTGTACCCCTTGGTCGTTTCTTTCTTGCCAACCACGACACCCTCACACGACCTCTTCTTCATGGCGCGCTTTCCAGGGTCACGAAACGCGGTGCACGTTGATCCAAAAATGACAATGTCGCGAAGGTTTGGTGCTTCGCCGGTCGGCACTTCAAGCGGTGACTTCCAATCCTCGTTAGCGCGGGACGAGCTCCGGTTCAGCACGTACGTCGCGTACTCAGCCGCGTCACCCCAGAAGCTCATCGGCAATCCTGCACCAAACACCATGCACCAAGCCATGTTGAGAACCGTGCGATGCATCAGCTCCGCCTTGCCGTTTGCAGCTTGATTCCCGACTTCTGACACCTGACGAGCCACTCCGTTTTCTTTGCAGAAGAGATATACGTTTCGGTACTCTCCTCCACCGTCCGTGCGGAGAACATGCACACGAACGTCGAGCCGTTTTTCGAACTCGACAAGAAAGTCCTCGAACTTCTTTGCAGCCATGATGTTCTTCTTCTTTGCCATGAACACCTTGCAGTAGCTCGACTTGTGGTCCACGAAGTAAACCATGTAGTGGCTACCTTGGTGATCAAGTGGCGTCATGGGACCCCTCAGGTCACTGCAGATAACTCCTCCGACTTTGTCGATCGGTGCGTGTCCTTAGTCGGTTGATTCGCTCGAGTCTGTTTACCCTCAGCACAATCCAAGCAGGCTTACGGTCACGATTCGATATCGTGATACCGGATGCGGGGTCATTTGCCATACGCTCAATGGTGTCCAATGCCAAGTGACTGAAACGTGCATGGAAGCCCATCAACGTGTATGTTGCGACGACCGGCGAGGGTGTGTCCGTACTCGTGTCCACCACGTTCATGGTCAGCTGGTCCATCTTCACATTTTTCGTAGCTACCGATTCAGGTCTAGCCACAAGCACGTTGTGCTTCACGTCGACATAGTATACCACTTCGTTGCTTTTCATCAACGCCAACATTCCCTTGCGCTTGGTAAGAGAGCATCCATTCGCTATCAGCCGTCCGTAGTCCGTATGCGATCAGGTTCTGCGAGAGTTTCGGTGCGTAGTAGACCTCACTGAGGTCCACCTCAGCCGCGACTCCGTCGACAATAGCTCTCAAAATCACCGATCCTTTCTTGGCTACGTCCACCGCTCGACCATCCGGTAACATGCAGGTGTCCTCACCAAAGCACGGCACTACGTTAGCCAGTAGCGCAGGATCATTGACAAGATGTCGGCTGGCATCGCTGTCCAGAATCCAGCTCGTAGCGTCCACGGACTTAAAGTCATTACCGGTGGTAAGTGCGAGCTTTACTGGCTGGTCCTTGTTGCTTCCAGCGGAACGATTCGGGCAGTTCTTCTTCAGGTGTCCAGCCTTCTCGCACTTGTGGCATCGCCGCGTTTCTTCTTGAGACTGAGCCACTGCGTTTACGACTTCCTTACCAATATGCTTTGGCGCTCGACCTTCATCGGTCATCATCTGCGCCCAAACGACCAGTTCGTTCGCTTGTTGGAGAGGATCCGGCCGCGTGATGTCACACTTGGCCTACAAGGCGTGCCTCAAGTCCGGGTCCGCGAACTTGACGATGTTCTCCAGCACTAGCGCTTGTGACGCGTTCGTTGCCATCATGAGAGCATGCAAGTACAAGAAAAGCTCATTCCACGATCGTGACGAGTCCTTCTTCGCGCCGAAGAGCTTTATTCCTTGTTGCGTCGAGAGCGCCCGCTTGAACAACAAGTGCAGCTGCTTCATCACAAACCAGAGCGTCGGCTGCGTGGCCCACCAGCGCATGATGTTCTGCTGGAAGAAGAGCTCAGCTTTATCACGTTAATGCTGGCCGAACCTGCTCATCTTGTAGCGCTCAGGCGAGGCGTAGCCACACGCCTGCTCCGCCATCGGCTCAATGAACAGCAGCGCCCACTTCTCGAAGCCGCCGCCAAGTCCCTTGTAGACCTCGCTGCCGTCGAAGTTTAGCATGAAGATCTTCGCATCCTTGGCAGGCGGCACTCTCTCGTTGAGATGGAGCAGCGAAGGCCGAAGTGGCTGGTACTGCGCAGCCGGTTGTTGCTGCTGTGGCGTCTGTTGAGCTGCTTCTTGGGCCTGGAACGGTGTATTTCCTGCTTGTTGCCCAGCATCAAGACTACCATACACCCCAGGCGTCTGCGTACCCATGCCGAAGTTTGACGCGCCGAGCTCATGCAGCTGCATGCTCAAGCTGCCTCCATGCTGCAGTGCCTGACGGTACACGTTCTGGCCCAACCCAGGCTCCGGACCGAATGATATGACGGCCGCACGCTGCTGGTGCGTTTCCAGCGACCGCTCTAAGCTGTCCACTTTGGCCGTGAGCTTAGTGATGAGAGCCGCGAGCACTCCAGCGTCCGGCGTGACCTTCTCTTCGTGATGCTCTTCGCCCCTTTCGTGGGCGGCGGGGGAGGCCGGGACTGCCTTTGTGGCAGGGTCTGCGTCGGAGTTGTTGACCATTGGGCTCAAAACCTGTTCGTTGGGCACTTGCTCGGAAGAAGGTAGAAGTGAAAGTGAGAAATATATTCAAAGGGGTTTTTACTTGGATTCTACATGCACACTCAATAACCTGAAACGACACGCGCCTACACTCGATTTGATTGGTCCCAATAGTGAAACCAAGTCAAAATGTCGTACCTTCAACATTGTCGACTCGACACTTGCGTTAAGGTCCTTAGGGGTCTGGCTTCTGGTCACCTGCCCGTGCACACAAGACAATCGACGTATCAAAAAATAATAGTAGTTTCAATAATTTTCTATAATTTATATTGCTACTATCGCTTCGTGGAAATGCTACTAGTTTTAATATGCCTCTGTCTGTGTTTGCCTGGTAGTTCCGGTAATACTACTACCGGTTGGTTTAGATTACAGTACTAGTCATCCCTGGTGATGATATCAGCTAAACGCAGGCATCTAGGGCCGTCTACATGTAAATATCTGCGCTTCCTAAGGTATACTACAACTTTCTCATTTTTGCGGCATTTTTGGCAAACGTACACTACGGTCTGTATGGTTTACAAAGCCTCCATTTCTCAGCCAATCACAGCTGGTACATTAGAAGATAACTTGAACAAAATTTAAATGGTAAAACTGTCAATATAAAGCGGTATTAGGATATGCTACGATACCGAGCTGGTCATTTTACGGTCAAGCGAAGTAAATATTATATCTGTCTTCATTCAACTTCACTAGACTTGCTTTACGCTTGATCATACGTTTCACAATGTTGTAATGAGCCAATAACGTCCGTGGCAACTCCAAGGAAATGCAGGCGACGCCGTAAAAGATTGTGTGAAAATGAAGCAGGCAATAGCGTTGAACCCATTCCGGGAAGACACTCGATGTTGAATTTCTCTTTCTGATGCGCCGTCGTGTTTACTTCTCTGCGGTACTGACGAGGTGTCATGTGAGTCGGTAGCATATTGAACAAATTGTTCTGCTTTGCCTTGCGAATATAAGCCACACCCTGCGGGTATGGATCGATCAACGCCTTGCCGTTCACGTACAATACTTCAATCTCACTGTTATCAATAGGTACGAACTGAAGAATACTCCCGCAAAGTGCATCAGGATGTCTCTTCATGTCCTCGTTGGGCATTGAATTGACCACACTAACACCCCAAGGCGAGTACGTGTACGTCACATGAGCCAGCTCGAATGCCAGCCAGAATGTCTCCTTATCACCCCATGAGTATTTGAAGCGGAATCGTTCTTCGGTAATGAACCAGAACATTATTTTCATGACTGTATTTCCTGCTCGTTCCTTGTCAATTAGCACCATCGATGAATCCATTTCGTGGCAAGATTTGCCTTTATACGCGAACGAGTTCAGTACATGTTGCGATGGAGCAAAGCCTCTGGACACATTGAACCTTGCGTAGTCAAATTCTCGTAGTAATCTTCGTAGATAATATCTCCCGTGGTCGTTGCCATTCAGAAATCTTTTCTTGTGAGCGACACGATCGTAGAAAAAAGTCGTTCCTGTCTTCATATACCCGTCCAGATCGCGTAGTACGGCAGGGTCCTTCATGATAACGTCGTCTACGTCCAGCAGCATCACGTGGCGAATGTCTGTGTGATACATGGCAAGTGGTTTGATCCACCAACTCTGAAAGTTAGTAGTCATATTACTAGAGATCACACCGCGTGATGAGAAGTCGGAGCAAACGTCAACGAGCTCAACGCGGTCGTCAAGACTGAATAATAGGTTAACTGATCTCCCCGACAGCTCGTCTCCTCCGCAGTGATAAATTTGAATGAGTTCTTGGTTGCCAAGACAACGCAGCTCCCGGATAAGGGACAACCCCATGTTCAATACCCCATCGTACATGCAGATCATAATCCCTCGGTTACGACTCACGCTTGCGTCGAAATTATTGCCGCGCTTGTAGAATTGCGACTCCGGGTGCAGGAGCACCCCGAGTGCCGACCGGCCCACATTAGTTTCAGTTTGAGCTCGAAGATTGTATGTCCTGGACCGGAAGGCGTCGAAGCTGTCGCTAAGTCCGATGGAGGAATTTCCAACGAGTCTGCTATTGATATAGATGGTAGTCAGCAGGATACTCGCAATGCTTGCGAGCAGCAGCAGCGATATCGACAAACGCCCTGGGCGACGAGCAGACAGCTTCATCGTGGATCTCCAATGACGCTCTGATGGGTTAAGGCCGATAACTGATACGAACGGACAATTCATCAGTGCAGAGAAGTCCTGGATGCAGAGGGTTTCATCGGTTTTTGAAGTAACGACTCCTCCATAATTAAGGGCTGAGCCTCGCTTTCATCTGGTTATTTGTTTATTACTTCGAAGTATAAAAGAGATACTAGTAAAATATTACAATTTTTCTCTACTTGTGCTAGATTTGAGTTGCCTGCTTTGCAAACCGGACCAGGTCTTTCTCGATACCGGCAAAGGTTTGGTCTGCGAACGGCTGGATGTAAAACTGCGGGCTGTGGCCAAGTGACCGCCGCCCAAAACACTTTTGGTTGTTGGCAAATTCTAAAGATGTTGTAAATGCCTGAATGACGTAGTGTTGACGGCTCCACTTTTCATCAAAAGAAAGCAAGTGTGTCCAGATTATTGGATCGCGGAGCTCGCTCACAGTTAAATTACCCAAGCCGTGCGCAGACACGAGCTCTCTCGGTTCCGAGCTGTTAAAAAGTGCTTTTTCTGGCTCCATCCCCGTGAGTTTGTGCTTATTGCGGTGAAGGAACAGAACGTCACCTTCTGGGTCGTGCTGTACCATCGTCATACCACAAAAAGCAGACGAATTGGTCACCATTCCAGCCATGGCAGGAGGCGTCTCAACCATGTGAAAAGGTGCATTCAACTTGAGCCACGCTAAGCGAAACAAGTCCTTGTCGCCCCACGCGAGTTTGTAGTGAGCAAAGAAGTTGGGTTCGTGAGTAGCATAAAAGAGCACGAGCTTGAGAGGCGCAGCGTGTCTTCGTCGATCCACAACCAGTTGACCACTTTCTTGCTCAAACATGTCGACGAAAGGCATATCGAGAAGTTCCCACAGTAACGATCTGCTGTGTAGCCCAAACATGGTCGAGGTCGGATGCCAAAAGTCAGGCCAGAAGATTGCTCCCGTCTCTAGAAATTCAGGTGAGTTGAAAAGAAAGCTAGGATCTCGAACTGGAACGTTATCAGCATCGAGGAACAACACGCGATCAAAGAAACTATGGTTGATAGCGTAAATCTTGGTTACAAATCGCTTGGCAGCTGGGTCGGTGATCGGATGAAAAGAAATCCGAGCACCAGATGAATTATTGGCAAGATGGCGTAGTGGAACAAGAGCATTAGGGACGTGCTCCATCTCGTCAGGTCGATACCAAATCTCGATAGGTAGCGAGCAGCCTAAAATTACACGGAGTGCTCGAATGGTAGCGTAGGCACTCGGGATCAATTTCGGGTACACAACCATGACAATCCCATCTTGTGGAGGAAGATCACGAGAGGCGTCGTTCGGATCCAAAGTACTCTTCACCGCAGCGTGAGCCTGGATGTGATATTGAGCGAACGCAGGCGCGTTAATGCATCGAAATGGGACGCGGTTGCGGAGAATGTTGGAAGATCGACGCATAACGCGGAAACGTTCACCTGAATTGATGTCTTCCACTTCGCAGTATCCGGATGCTTTGTTCGATACTAAATCCGTGCACGTCAAGTCGTTCTCTGGTTCTCGGGGGCCATTTGGGCTTTTGTGACCTGTTTGTCGCCATCCGATACACTTGAGAGCACGCTTTCTCGTCTCACCCGCTGGTAGTATCTTTACGGAGCGAGCATGTAACTCAGCATCAGCTCGAAGTTGGGCCTCCATGGCGCTAGTATTTGATAGTGAATTCGCTAAGGATTCCGCCATATCTCTAGCCTTTACCGCTACACTGGATGGGTCCTCATCTCCGAATTCTGGCAATCTTTCCTCCATAGAATATCTCCACGAACTATTCGACACAATGGTGGATTCAGTAGCGTTTGATGGAGTACTATCGTCATCGTTTGTGTTGACACGAAGTAATTGGATGTCGCTTTGGCCGATTCCTTGAAGCGATCTTTGGCGAACGCTATTTGGTTGGTTCTGCAGACGTTGGTGCTGCTTAGTTAAGAGGGAGACGAGAACAGACCCGTACATTACGACACTGAACACGATCAAACGAGTGCACCATCGCCGTAAAGGTGGAGAGCTTCGGCGGGTGTCTTGTATGCCCATGTCGAAGCAGTAATAGACGACAGCCAACCTGAAGGAGTTTCACGAAGGGCTTAGAATGTATAGTCCCATGTTGAGCAAAAGCAAAATAGATTTTGGCGATCGAAACCTTGTATATTTCGTGCAGTGTAAGGAATACGATGAGATGTCTGCATAGATATTATTTACACTTTTTTATTCTTTGCTATTGAAGTAATTGCTTGCAGTTCGTTTCGCATATCGACGCAGATCCGTCTCCAAGCCGGAAAACTCAAGTTTTTAAATGCCAGCACATAGAAATTTCCCCAGCACTCGCTGACCGGAGCACTTCTGGCCTTCAAGTCATAAAAAAAACGTCTCGACGTATTTTACTGAGCGGTATGTGTTCTTGAAAGAGAGCAGGACGTTCTTGTACTTGTCCCGAGTGGCTTCTATCATTTCAACTCATCTTGACCTCTTTCAACTTGGGTGCTCGCCGTCCTATTGGCTTCGTACTTGTCAACTTCTCTGTGGCAAGACAAACAGCCCCAGCCATGTTGGCGTGATCGCTGTTCTGAGGCACACCAGTAAGTTTTGTTTGAATTTGAATTGCCATGAAGGAACAGAGCGTTACCCCGGGTGTCGTGCTGTACCATTGTCAAACCGCAAAAACGTCATTTATAATTTTTCCAGCCACGCCGGAGGGTGTCGAAGCATGTGAAACGGTGTAAGTTGCTTCAGCCACACCAGACGAAACAGGCCCTTGTCGCCGTGAACGAGCTTCATTCGATGATAGATGTCACAATGCCGCACAAGCTCCAATCTAGGAGCGTGTCTTCGTCGATCCACCAGTCATTGACCATTCTCCTGCTCGAACATGTTGGCAAACGGGATGTGGAGCGGTTCTCAAATCAACGGTTGACTGTGAATGTTAATAATCAAGTTCGTCGGATGCCAGAAACCAGGCCAGAATATACAGCTCCAGTCTCCTGAATAGCTCAAACAGACAAAAATTGGATCTCGCACGGGGAGGGGACATTGTCGGCGTCCAGGAACATCACACGATCAAAGTGGTCATTGTAGATCGCTTACACTTTGACTCGAAATACCGTAAGTAGTAAAACCCGCCACCTCATGCAAAGAGATCGCCATTCGTGAAAAATCTTCGTATCGGCGAAATGGCTCGTGGTACGAACCAACTCTTGATTAGCATTTTACAGTTGAAATCACGCAACACACGGATAGTTGCGTACGCACTCGCCGTGAGTTTGGAATAAATGACCATGACAATGCCGTCTCGCGGGCCTGACATGCTAGAACCCAGATTAGGTAGAGCAAAGTCAGGCTGCAGTGCTTTATCGAGTGCTTTACTTGCCAGCGCTGGGAAGTTGGCAAATCTAGTTGCATCAGAACACCTGAACATCGCTTCTGGTTTGATATTGTTGCAAATTCTTCGCCCCACTCGAAACTTCTCAGCGTGATCTTGGTCTGGAAGTCGCGGTCCGTTCGGATTGTAGCCGCCTGCCGCCCTCCGCCCCACAGAGCGCAAAGAACGTTTATTGGTTTCACCCTTGGGATAGTTCTTGAGCGTCTTCTCAAATATTTCCGCCTCCAATGTGAGGCTCGCAGTCTCCTTTGGGTAAACTCCGTTCCGCTGGTCGACAACCGCCAATTCGGTAAATGAGTCTCGGCAATTGTTTTCCCATTTTGGGCGAAACGTTGGATGTCCGGACTAGCAAGCAGCTTATTGTACCACATCAACACCATCAACACGTTGACCACGCTAATAAAAATAGCCACGCATGGGCCATGTGGCATAAAAGCCATTTCTTTCGAGTGGCGGCCATTATTGGGGCTCAAGTAGCGAGAAAGCTTTACGCGGTAGTACCGCGGCGGTACGCATCAAGAAAAAAATCATTTTTGTGACGATTCTGGATGCTTAGAAACCTGTTTTAATTCATTAAAACTACAAATGTCTCTGACACGTAATTATAATTTATCTCTGGTATCGATTTAGAAGGGATCCTCAGAGGTGAACCAACGATGTCCTGCACCAGCTTCAAGAGCTTGACGCCCCCGCTTCGACCGGCGGTTTCTGGATCGAGTTGACTTCATTCCATTTCTCGCGAAATGCAGCAAGGTTCACCCAGTTTTGCCCGTCGGTGGCTGGCCCGTGTCCTCGTCCTCAGTGTTTTTCTTTATGTGTTGGAAGTGCTAGCTCTATGGACAGATACGCAGCACTCACCCGAGGCCACTAGTGCTGACCTGCAGTTGATACGCAGCGACATTGACACGAATCTACATCGTGAACGCAACGACACCAACTTCTTCATCAATTCAATACAATTCAACAGTACAAATGTAACATTCACAAGAGCAGGAGCCTCCTTCGAGACTAACACCTTCTTGAATAGTGAAGGAGCGTCCACGATGGGGATCCCCAAGTTCACGTGTCTAGGGTGGCATCAAACGGGCGGATGTAGTCCCGATGGGCCACGGGAAACACAAAATGATGCCAGCTGTAGTACGAATATCGAGGCTGGAGCTTCCGGCTATTGTCTACTCAAGAATGAGGCAGGTGAGGAGGTTCAAGTCATGCGTGTCAACTGCTCGTCATTACGAGACGAAGTCAGATTCAATTGCCACCAAGCAGTGGATTTCGTTCGTGTCGCGCCACAGATCGACGCGCTGATTGCTGCTAAGCGACAGGTGATTAAGCAGAATGAGGCCGTGCAGCTCCACCCTACGAACGGCGTGTTAATGGTCATGTATCCGAAGCTTCTTGCGAGCGTCTACTCGACTGTGCGATTACTGCGCTTCTACAACTGCTCGTTGCCTATAGAGTTGTGGTACCTTGAGAGCGAAATGGGCACTAATCCGCTAAACGAGTCGCGTGTTCTGCAATCGCTTGTGAATGAGTATGGACCGATTTCACTGCATGGTATTGCAGAAACACGTGTGGACGGATTTAATACCAAGGTGTTTGCATTGGCACATTCAGAGCTGGACCAGGTATTGTTCCTTGACGCCGATAATTCGCCAGTTAGGGACCCGACGTATCTCTTTACGACACCGACATTTGTGGAGAATGGTGCAATTTTCTGGCCGGATTTCTGGCACCCGATGAACACAATCTTCAACATTAACAAAGAATCGTTATTGTGGGAGCTGGTGGGCACACCATATACGTGGACATGTTCGAGCAAGAAAGCGGTCAGCTATTGATCGATCGGCGCAGATCGGAAGTGGCGCTGGAGATCGCGCAGTTCTTAGCGCTTCGAAAGCCTAATCACTTCGAGCGCCTCAAACTGCTACATGGAGACAAAGATCTTTTCCGTTTGGCGTGGCTGAAGACCAACATCTCATTTCACATGATTCAAACCCCTGCTGCGGCTGCAGGTTCTGTAATAGGCAACCAGTTCTGTGGCATGACTATGGTACAGCATGACCCTCGAGGAGACATTTTGTTTTTACACCACAACGGCAAGAAGCTGATTAGCGAAGGGGAGACCAGTAAGACTCGCGTCTTTCCATAGGTCGCGCTTTTCCAACAACTAAAGTTTTCTCTTGTTAGAGCATTTCCACCGGTAGAGTGAAAGAAAAGGTAAATATAATATCGTATGGGGTGCGACCAAGCAGCGTTGTAAATTTACTCCTGGTAATTTCGCACTGGTTCACAGTAAAATTGGAGTAAAATGGCCTGCGAAGAGTCTTGTGCAGCTATATGATCGAAGACCTCAATCATGTCCACTTGATGTAAGGAGCGCTGGATGGCTCGAAAAGGAAAGGCTGTCGACTAACATCCAGCTGCCTGGTTCACCGCCATCGTTGCGGTGAAGGATTCCACTACATTTTCAAACACATTGCTGAGTTTTGTTGTTGTCATACTCATCTATCCAGGATTCCATTATTTTTTACGGGAAGATCTAAAAGTCGGTTTTAGGTGGTGGTATAAATGTTACACGACCGGTGCAAGTGCGCAGTTGTATTTTGAGGGGAAATATAGCTTTACTCCATGTTACCTCTACCGGGCTTAAATGCGGAAAAAGCTCCTTCGACGAAAAATAACACCCGCAGGCGTCGTATATTCGACTATTTCAATAAATGTGCCTAATTTACTGCTAACCAATTTTATTACATTGGCGGTGTGCCCCCCCCCCCGCCTCGAGGTTTAATTGGGCGATTGTTACCTGAATCAATAGTCCATAGACTGACCACAAAATATTTAACGTACGTGCTGTGGTGAGTGTGGCGTGAATGTTGCTAGGAAGCGTGATCACCCAATGCGAGAGCACAAGCAATAATTGGATGGCCCAAAGTGTATCCGAGAGAGACGGATTGCTCATGGAAATCGAGAAAAGAAGCCACAAACCGTTGCAGCATGTACAGCCAGGACAAGTGGGTCCAAGCGAAAGCGACAAGAATCGCTATTGGACCAATTTGCTGAGAGTATTCTGGATAAGGTGGCGTTGACGATTGTGCTCTGTGGGTTCGATTTCGCCACTTGCTTTACCATGTTTTCCAACACAGGATGTTGCACTGAAGGTATGGTGCTTATCACGTTTCGAAGCAGCCAAGTGCAGAATTTGACACCTTGCTCGCATTGGTCCGTCATAGTCGACAGGTAACACATTGCCTCAATATGGACTCGTGAAAATGTTCCAATACCTGAAATTTGAACACATTCTATCTCCAGGTTTTGTCCATGAATCTCCAGGTCTTGTCCACGTAATTGCGTGTCATCACTTTCAGCTTGCGAAGGCTGGCTCTGGGTGAAGATCTCGATTGCAGTCTCTCTTGTGTTCTTCACTGGAAGAACGGAGAGGCACTTGTCCAGCAGCTTCTTCGGGAGAAGATAGAACGCGTTGTCGTTCAGCACAGGGGCGCTCTGTCGAACATACTTCGGTTTCTTGTTACTCGCTCTATCCCACTTGGTAGGTATTGGGCTTACGCGGCCTAGCGTTTCCTGGAGTGTCGGGTTTTCCCTTTGTAAATCTTGAGCAAGCTGTACTAGAGTAACGTCCCCCATTTTTCGGTGATGCTCCTCAGACTCGTTAAACAGTGCCCGTTTCTTCTTGTCTTCGGCCTCGCGCTCTTTCGTATTTAAACGAGGTCTTCCGGTCTTTGCAGCCTTCGGGTTCCACCTGATCGACAATTCTGTTAGTGATTTCGTGTCTTGGTCATCGCCATCAGTCTCCACGAAAGGATTCGAGTTTGTGATTTTGATACGCTTCCGCTGTCTAATGTTCGCCCACTGTTTGAGAAGAAAATCAAGATGCTCTTTGTACTCGTCCTCGTCCTCTATATCTGCCAGTTCGTTGCAGATTGCTTGTGTAGCACTGAGCGCCTGTCTGTACTTGGTCGCTGCATCGAGTGCCTTCCACTTTGTTTGGCCAGGCTTGAATTCATTTACAACTATAGGTCTAGGCATCTGCTCTAGCTCTGCAGGATGTAACCACCTGTACACATTCGTATCGAAGGGAATGCCAGCACGACATGTTAATTACTGGACGAAACATGTACGATGCATGGATAATACATGGACATCGCCATAGGCTCAGCTACTCACCGCTCATGGATCCGACTCAATGGAATGACACTTCCGGACACCTTTTTCCACTTTCGGTAGGCGATAGCATGCTGACAGGGTAAACGCATAGCACACGCGAACGAACACGAACAGCTCCAGTATGACAAGTCCACATAATGCTCCTTGTGTTTTCCAGATACCACCACGAAGCCAGGCTTGGAGACCGTATCGTAGACCAAAACTTCGGCCTTGGACATGGCCATCAAATACTCCTTCTGAACGTGCTCTGCCACAAAGTGAGTCGTAAACCGCAGCACTTGACACAGCTCTTCATCGTAGTTTCGGTTTACTCGCAGTCCCACGCGATTCCTGTGGAACAAATACTCACTAGACATTCGTGCGTCAGCTCCCACGAGAGCCTTGATCGTTTTAGTCATCGACATTGTGTGGGTAACCGAATCCTTAAAGTGGCCGAGCCAATTCTCCAAGTGGTTGTTAGTGTGGACGCGCAAATGTGCAAGCCGAGCCCGTTTGTACATGACCCACATGTCTGTACATTCATTCCAGTTCTCATCCATGTATTCCCGAAAGCTATTGAATCGTATCTGTGCGCACAGTGTGTTCATCGACTCCCAATTCTTTGTGTATATGTCTTCATTCACGGAGTACACCATATTATGCACGAGTGTATCGATTGCATCATGATCATCTTGCGAGATCTGCCCATACTTAGGCTTTCTGGAAGCTGTGCGCAGGTACTTGATCACATGAAAGAAGCAGATCAACACACGCGCCTTGGGGAAGTACTTCTTCCAAAATAAACACATGGCGTCCAAATGACTACCGTCTTCACCCCCAATAGAAGTCCGCCTACGTTCTAAGGCCCCGGCTGGCCGGATGGACTACTTTCCAAAAATGTCACGTTGGGACAAAAGATTTGTCTTGTTCATTTTGACTAACCATGGGCGTGCGTGGCGGAGTTAGCTGTGGCGAGTAAAATCTCGAATGAGCTCGAGCTGCAGCATGCTCTCGATCTCATACTAGATCTATCTAAAGAGCCACTACAGCATCAGAAGACTATGCTTTCGTCTGCAACTGCTTTCAGCACCGTTGCCTCTGCTACCTGTAGTTTCCAATGATTTCATATTGGGGCAAAAGGTTTGTCTTGTTCATTTTGCCACACCGTGGGCGTGGCGTGGCGGCTGCCCCACAATGATGTGCCGCTAGTCGCGCTTCAACCAAGTCGCATGTCAGTCTTAGCACATATGCTGAGAGAGATCCGCCAATCCTCTTGCTGACAGCACGGGGTTATCCTCCAACGCACTGGGCAACCACCTACCCATCAACTTGATAACGAGAGGATAGGCATCTGCGTTGAGTAGTGCCGTCGCCCCGCCTATGCGAACTTAATGAGTTGCGTATCTAGTCGGGTCCAATCCGGCTTTAGTAACAGATCTCTTGATTACCGCCGTCACCGCTTCTGCTGTAATTTCACCACCCCGAATTGTGAGCGCGGATTCTTCTGGTTTCGTTGCAAACGCTGCTGCTGCCTTGTGTATCCACTGGGTAGCTCTGACTGGGCAAATGACTCGATCATTTGACTTCCAATGAAGCCGGACTTCTGCTCGACCGAATGAGTTGCGCTTTGCGCCATACAACGTAACACCGACCACCTCTGCACGTTCTGGTGGTACGGCATTCTCCTCTTGGTCGAAAAATCTAGTCCCTGGTAATCTCAAGATGTAACTGTGCATCCTTTTCCTGATGAAGAGATACTTAGAGCGTCTCAACAAGAAGAAATAAAACCAGTAGCAGGCCACCTCACAGAAGCTAATCGCGGGGCTCAGTAAGATCGAGTTCCGTGAAAATGACTCGAAGAAGCCGAGCAGTCAGGGGCTGCTGCTTGATGACAGGGTCTGTAAACCGACGTATCCCTCGAAGTAAGATAGCATGACAGGCATTGATCCCCGGATCATACCCCGTTGTGTCGCGATGAAACCAGCGCACGACGCACAGTTTTGGTGCTAGTTTTAAAATAGGTGCTGCCGATTCATTTATGATTCATTCCGTTCTGCCAAAGGTACACTACAATTGCACCAAGCTGTTCAGCGTTACGGTCCAACGCTGTTGCCGGTAGCCACCAATAATACTCCATCATCTTGCACCACAGTGTCCACTGACGCTAAGCTCTGGGCCATCTCTTGCGCAATGATTGGGCTTAAGCATACATCGCAATAACGCTCCCAGAGACACGAGAGATTTCGAAAGCCGGTCGGGGCACCTACCTGTGTCCATTCACGAGTTAAGTTAGCTAACCTAGAAGCTAAAGCTGGCGACTGCCACACCCTGCTTTCCGCATCCGTTATTTGGTTGTCGATACCGGCCACGTGGGCTGCCGTGGAGTAAAAGCCATGCCCGACTTCACAAATGCCTAAGACCGGAAGTAACATTTGATCTAAGCTGTTTCGACTAGCCTTGCGATTATTCCATGCCATT